CTATATATTGTGATTGTTTTTTGTGGTGGCTTTAAAAATTTTCTGTAAATTCCTTGACACTCCTCCCATTAAAAGGAAGATTTTTTTTTTTTTTTTCAGAGACAGGGTCTTGCTCTGTCGCCCAGGCTGGAGTGCATTAATGCCATCATAGCTCACTGCAGCCTCAAACTCCTGGGCTCAAGTGATCCTCAATCCTCTTGCCTCAGCCTCCCAAGTAGCACAGGTGCACACCACCATGTCTGGCTAGTTTTTCTATTTTTTTTTTTAATAGATGGGGTCTTGCTATGTTGCCCAGGCTGATCTTGACCTCCTGACCTCAAGTGATCTTCCTACCTCAGCCTCCCAAAGTGCTGGGATTATAGGCATGAGCCATCACGCCAGGCCCCAGAAGGTAAAGTTTAATTCTCCTTGCCTTAGTGGAATTTCTAATAAATAGGGCATAGCAAACGTAATTCTGTGTGACTTCTGCAGCTAGGTCATAAAAGGTGGTATAGCTTCCCCTGGCGCTCTCTCTCTCTCAATTCTCTTGCTCTTCCTTCGTGAGCAAAGATGCCTCACAGAGAGGCCATGTGTGGGTATCCTGGCCCCAGCCCCAGGGGAGGTCCCAGCTGACAGCGGCATCCACTGTAGACATCTGACGATGTCTGGCCCCAGCCTTCAAGCCATCCCAGCTCACCGAGTGGGACAGAGATGAATTGCCCCTGCTGATCCTTCCCAAATTACACATTGATGAGCAAATTAAATGTTGCTGCTGTTTTAAGACACTAATTTTGGGGTGATTTCTTATAGAAATATAGATAGATGGAACAACTATTTTGTCTTTTATGTCTCTTTTAATGTATAGTTTCCTCCTCCATCTTTTATTTTTTCTTGCAATTTTTTAAAATTGAAGAAATGAGTTTTTTGTCTTATCAGGTTTCCCACAGACTGAAATTTGCTGATTTCAGTCCCATGATATCATTTAACATGTTCCTCTGTCCCACTGTGTTTCTTGCTGCTGTTTTAAGACACTAATTTTGGGGTGA